CGGGGGGGGGGGGCCCCGCCGGACAATCACTGGATGAGCCACTGGATTAGTGGCTCCTGGCCAAGAGGTGCACAGGGCAGAATTCGCCCCATCTCCCCATGCTCCCATGAGCTGATGCTCTGTCCCACACCCACCCCGCCTTGGCTGGGCAGCCCCTGCCCCAGCCCTACTTCTCATGGGGGGCCTTAATCTACACCCCACACCATGCCCCTTCTCTCCCCCCTCCCCTTCCACCACACCAGACCTACCAGCTGAAGGCAGCTCTCCACAATACCAGGCTGTGCTCCTCCCTGTAGCTGCATGCATGCACTGGCTATTTATCAGTCAAATTATTGGCCTGATATGGCCGATTTCTGATATATTAAATTTTCTTTGTATTGATGCTGATTTGATATCGGACCAATGCATCAGTGCACCTCTACAAAAAAGCAGAGGCTCTGGCTTCTCCCGGCATGGGTGATCTGCCAAGCCGAGGGCTGGGCTTCTTTGCAAGCAGCTAGGCGCGGTGGGGCAGGCGTCTGCCAGCACTGGGGGAAGGGGCCGAGTGCCAAGGCTACAGCAGGGCAGGGTGGTGGGCAGGAGACTGTGAGTTGGGCACCAGCAGGGTCAGGGGGCTGTGGCTTGGGACAAGTCCTCAATCCTTACAAATGGGTCCCGATATGAAAAAAGTTGAGAACCACTGATTTAGGCTATGGGGATAAGAGCTGCAGGTTCAGCTACTGAAGATTATTTATGTAAAAATGTGTGTCAGGATTCTAAATAATTGTTGAAATGTCTTTATATTGTAAAAACCCCATTTAGAAATGGATTTTGATGTGTTTGTAATTTGGCCATTGGAACTACGTAAGAACAGGATGAAGGGATGTTGAAGGTCAGGGAGTTGCACAGATTTGCTCATGAATCCAAAGAGAGATTGCTCTCCCTCTGTGAGTTGTAGAAGGGTCTGCGAAAGATTTAATAAATCTCTTATTTAGGATGTAACATCAGCACCCATAGCAGACTGGCCATCTTGGGGCTTGGCTAACATTCTAAAGAGGAGTTTAACTTATTTATTTTTCCCTGTGGGTGACTGGTTTGAATCCTTCCCTGCCGAGCACAGATTAAAGTGTTCCCCTCTAACCCTCTGTGTAAGATGAGTCTGAATTGAAAACTCACAACTATGCTTTCCACCAAGTAAGTTCATAGTGAGAGCTCATGAAACAGGGAGCAAAACTGTTATTTATAAGCACAGTAGTTACGAGAGGGTGCACACCCGCGCGCTGGGTGGCATCCAGGGAATGAGCCGAAACACGTGGATACTGTTTTCAGCAACTGAATCGTGGAAGAGGCCCAGTCCGGCTGAGCAGAGGGCAGGGTCCGCGGCGGAGTCACCTGACGCCCTGCATTGGCCCCGCGGCAGCAGGATTTCACCCTGGCGTCCAGACTGCAGCTCCTCTTCGGCGCTTGCAGAGCGGGATGTAGCGGGGAAGGGCGACGGGCCCTGGGGCAGGAAGAGCCGCCTGGCCCTAAACTGACGGACACCGCCGCTAGGGAACGCGGAACAGACAGCTTTGCCCAATGGCGGCGCGCGGCTGGCCGG